ATCAGTCGTGAGAACTATAAAATCATGCAGACAGTCTCTCAGAGTTATCACAAACTGTGAGGTGTGTGTGTGTGTGCGTGCGTGGAAGCCCCTCTATTAAACGTCTAGTACAAAATCATATATAGTATAATCCTACCTATGAAAAAGTATACATAGAAAAAGACTTCAAAGAAAATCTAGAACATTTTACTAATGGATTGTGGCTTTGCAGTTCATTTTAGCCTCCTTTCTATTTTTTTAGATTTTTCACGACTCAAAATAAGAAAAAAAAAAACCTAAAAACTGTTTTCCCCCGACACACTTCACCGCACTGGCCAGCTCTGTCTGCTGAAGTGATGGGGCTCCTGGCAGTGTTAGTCAACCTGGAAACAGGAAAGAAGCATGGTACCTACTTGATCTCCAACTGTCCACACGGCTTCTTCCTAGAGAGGTTTAGCAGGTCTTTGCCATATTTCTCTTCAATTGATGCCCTAAAGGGAACAGAAGAGAGAGCTCTGAGTCTTTCTCAGGCTGACTCTCAGTTAAAACACATGGCACCCCCCTTGAGGGCAAAACTGCACTTCTGAAGGGAGAAGCTCAGATATAACACCATTCTCTAAAATGCAAAACTCTCCTACAGGACAGGGGGAATTGTGAGAAGATTGGTGGCCTTCATGTCTCAGTTGCCAGGTGGACATCACATCTTGGCAAAACCAAACATGGCCCCCTGACTGGCACAGGCCAGCGCGTTACAGACTATTCAAAACTGTGACCCAAGGATTTATTTACCAAAAATTTATTTTTATTCATATATATGTTTTAAGTGGAGTAAGAGATAATTCCACTAAATGCTGCACTCCTGAGGCCCACCCCTCTTCCCATGTTCTCAAAGAGTATCCTTTTACCATCCTAAAGAGTTCCTCATTCATAGTCAATTCAGTGTTTTATGTTTTTTGTTCTTTGGGTTTTTTGAGGGAGGATCGAAGGGGGGACAGAGGATCTGAAGCAGGCTCCACGCTGACAGCAGTGAGCCCGATGCAGGTCTCGAACTCACAAACCATGAGATCATGACCTGAGCGGAAGTTGGACGTTTAATCGACTGAGCCAATTCAAATACACAGCTAAACTGTAGCAAAGAGAGGGGAATTTCAGAATATAAACTCTGCAGTCGGCAGGTCTCACAAAAACAACTGATTGTTACTTGGTGTAGCATGATCTAAAATGCCGAATATCCCCTTTCCCCACCACTTAAGATGTCCCAGGCACTGTACCAGGTATGATGAAGAGAGTTCCAGGGCCCGATTTTCCTAGGTTTGAATGCAGATCTATCCTTTATTGGCTGTGTGACCTTAGGCAAGTTACATAACCTCTCTGAACCACAGGCACCCCACACCTACCAGAGCAAGAGGAAAGGCCAGGCAACTAAACCCTGAAGAGGGTTGCACTTCTTCACATGAATTATTTCTGAACAGGACACAGGGAAGGAACGCACACTCCCCCTCACTGACAGCAGCCTCCTCCTGGCAAGCACACCACCAAAAAAGAAGCCCAGGGCCCAGGCAGGCCACATGACCAAGAGCCTCAAACCCCCGTACCCAGGGCATACATATCTGACACTCTGACCTGATGCCGATTCTTTCCCAAAACCAGAGAGCATGGGACTGGTTTCTTTTGCTCTGAAACTCCTGCAGAAAAATGACCATATACTAGAAATACAGCACAGGGGCGCCTGGGTGGCTTAGTCGGTTAAACGTCTGACTCTCGGTTTCGGCTCAGGTCATGATCTCACGGTTTTTGAGTTCAATCCCCGGGTCAGACTCTGTGCTGACAGTGCAGAGCCTGCTTGGGATTCTCTCCCTCCCTGCCCCTTACCCACTCTCTCTTCCTCTCTCTGCCCCTCTCCCACTCGTGCTGTCTCTGTCTATAAATAAATAAATAAGAAACTTTTTAAAAAATACAATAAAAATATTTATTAATTTTTAATTTCCATATATTTCCTCCTCTTTTCCATATATTTTTATGAGACATTTAAAAAGTGAGAACTTAGTTTCTGGGATCTGTTTGGACTTGTGTTTTTCAAACTGTGGGTCATAACTCACTTGTGCACAATAAATCCATTCAATGGGTCATGACCAGCCGTGTTTAAATACATAGAATTGAGTAAAATAACAGGGTAGTGACGTTTGTTAAACTCTTGTTTTATGCATGTGTGTACCGGACGGCAGTGTAAAATGTATTTCTTGCTGAGGGTCACATTTAAAAGAAAATGTGGGGACCGCTGAGCTACAACACCATCCACATCATGTCAGGGGACTCTTGGATGGTCCCGCCTCGGCAGCGGAAGCTTCGGTCATGGATGTTTGGCAATGCCTTCTCATGGATGCAGGGCAAGGCTAGTTCACTCCCAGGAGAAAATCGATAAAAGCACTAACTGGAAGAGGGGCACAATAAGCAAGGGAGGCTCTACAATGTGCACACCCTGCAGTCATGAAATTCCTGTTTGCGTGCTCCCTCCAGAGCTCTGGTGAAGAACAGAGGAAGCCCACCTCCAGTATCCATCAAGAGAAAGAAAAGTGGTAACCTGGTGTCACCTCTGTCAACCAGCTTGGGTAGAGGAGGGAGGCTGGTGTCTGGAAGGAAGAGGTGCATGACCAGCTAGCTCCCTGGAGGCTGACAATGGACCGACCTCACTTCGCCTACGGCTCCTGAGAACCACAGTGTGGCAGTTCTCCGGTTCCCGGGGGCCTTTCAGACAGTTCAGGGACAGAGGCCTCCTCATCAGGGCGCACGACCATGTAGGTGTGATGTTACCCAATGTTCTCTTGAGAAGAAAATACAAAGACTTGATGGAAAAAGACTTTAATGTCTGTATCTCCAAGCTATAAACCTCTCACTGTGTTACAAAGAGAATCTGTTCATTAGTTTGGGTCCTGGTAATGACCCAGCTCTTTGGCCAAAAATCCCCCTAGAGTACTCCTTCATCCAGAATCACTGGGCAATTGAGTGTTCTGGAGGACTACGATTTTCCACAAAACTAACTTACCCCATTAAGTACGGAATTAAAAAAATAATAATAATAAAACCTTAGCCATTACAAAAAGAAAAGGAGGGGCGCCTGGTGGCTCGGTTAAGCGTCTGGTTCTTGGTTTCAGCTCAGGTCACAGTCTCATGGTTTGTGAGTTTGACCCCCGGCATTGGGTTCTGTGCTGACAGTAGGGAGCCTGCTTGGGATACTCTCTCTCCCAATCTCTCTGGCCTTACCCCAACCTCTCAAAATAAATAAATAAACTTTAAAAATAAAATAAAATGGGGACGCCTGGGTGGCGCAGTCGGTTAAGCGTCCGACTTCAGCCAGGTCACGATCTCGCGGTCCGGGAGTTCGAGCCCCGCGTCAGGCTCTGGGCTGATGGCTCAGAGCCTGGAGCCTGTTTCTGATTCTGTGTCTCCCTCTCTCTCTGCCCCTCCCCCGTTCATGCTCTGTCTCTCTCTGTCCCAAAAAATAAATAAATGTTGAAAAAAATAAATAAATAAAATAAAATAAAATAAAATAAAATGTAAAAAGGAAAGGAAAGGAAAAATCCTCTACACCATGCCAGTCCCCTCCTTCCCCGCCAAGCTCCCTGCCCTCTGGAGTGCTGGGACCCGTCCGCCCCCATCTTTCTCACTGCTCTGCCTCTCCCCACCCATGGTCTCTGAATCAGGCTCCTTAAGTCGTGCTCCTCTCCTCCACCTGCAAGCTTGCTGCTCTTCCACAGACACCTCTGCCTATCAAATCCACCCCGCCCCTCCCCCCCAGGGCCGCTCACTGGTCCCATCGGCTATGAAGCTGCCCCTCTTTATTTACTAGTCTTTCACAATCTCCCTCTCCCGTGTGCTGTGCTTATCACCTCACTTAGCATTTTATTACATTTTGTTTGCTGTTTCATTCATGAATGTCATCTGTCAAAGCTGGTTTCTAAGAGCTTTGGGACAGAGATATCATTTACTTCCTGGGTATCATTCCATAGCCTACAGCAGAGGTCTTGGGAACGCTTAGAAACACACAGAAAGTAGGAAATTGTTCCTTTGTGTGGGGGTGTTTTGTCTTCCCCTCCATCTTCAAGGAAGAACAGCATGTACCTTTCTTTTAAAAAGTCTTCAAATTCTTTGCAGTTCTTGCGGCCGTTGTTCAGGTGCTGGATGATGCTGTCGTAGCCGGCAGTGCTGAGGATGTCTGAGCTCTGATGAGACAGGACATTTGTCAGGGCAGGGAGTGGTGATAGCAGCCCCGAGCCTGGCAAGTAGACAGGGCAGAGCACAGGGGAAGCCGGCAGTGGGAAGTTTCTGAAGAACTTCACCTCCAAGACATATATGACCAAAGCAAACAAAATAGAAGAAGTAAGAGTGTATGTGGCTGTGGGAGAATTTTCAAAGTTATGAAACTGAAGGGCCACAAAACAGGAAGGACATGACAGGAAATGGAGAGCACATGGATGAGGGAGCTGGCTGGGCTCTGTCCCTCTCTGCACCAACCCCCAAGGCCAAGTCACATCAGGACAGGGCAAGAGCTCCTGTGGGGTGGAAACCCACTGCAACCGCAGGGCTGCTTTAACCAGGGCTACACAATTTTCCCTTCGTTCTCAAACTTGTCACAGAGCTTGACACTGACACGTCTTCCCACAGCCAATAAGCCTGGTCTGAGGGTCGAGGGTCAAGGGTCAAGGGTATCCCTGCAAAGGGCAAGCAGCTCTGAGCCAGGAGCCAGGTCCCTGGAGTAGAGAGGGGGACCTGGCTTCCCACTGGGAAACATGAAGGGGAGTCAGCATGATCCATCACATGGTCACTGGCTGGCCCCAATCGGGGAGGGGTGGTGGGGAGGAGGGATGTTTTCTCATTTTAAATTAGCAATTTATGCCCATTTTATTTTATTATGTGTTCTGAGGTTGGAGGAAGCTACTTAAGTCCCCAAAGGAGTAGCCCCAGAGGCAGTACATTTTTAAAATCAAAGTCCCCCATGGGGCACCTGGGTGGCTCAGTCGGTTAAGCATCTAACTTCGGCTTAGGTCGTGATCTCACGGTTTGTGAGTTCGAGCCCCTAGTCAGGCTGTCTGCTGTCAGCATGGGGTCAGCTTTGGATCCTCTGTCCCCCTCTCTCTCTGTCCCTCCCCCTCCCTGTCATTTTCAAAAATACATAAAGATTTTTAAAAAAAACCTTTAAAATCAAAGTCCCACAACGCCTCAAACCAACAAGTCAGGGGCTAAAGAATACCCCCTATGAGGTCCCCTAATCTGGCTGGTTCCCTGGCTTCTACCTCCAAAGGCATACATTAGGTTGCCTGATTCAGACTCTAGTCCCTTAGGGAGATTGGTTAGGCTGTCCCAAGTGTGCCCTGGGGAGCTATAAACTCACCCACCCCCAGCCCAGCCAGGCAGACCACCCCTTCCCAGCCCCCAGTGGGCTGAGGGAGGTACTATTCTACCATTAGTGGTGAGTGGGGGACCCCTGAAGATACCTCTCTACCCAGCTCTGAGCACTGGAGAAGCAGAATCTCCCTCTTCCATTTGCTGCCACTGGCATGGCCTGGACTAGCAGACAGGGTCCCAGGGAGTTCTAGCAGGACAAGGCTTGAGGCTGATTTCAACATGGCCTTCAGAAACCTAACCGGCCATAACTCACACTGCATTTTTAATGAGCAGAGTCAATTTTACATGTGGGCATATAAATAAATCTAAGTTAGAAATGCATTTAGTTCTAGGAGTTCTGGCTGTTGTTTCAGCATAAATTTAGGCCCTGGGAAGCCTAAAGAAACAGCCTCCACCAAAGCTTCGTTCCTCTACCCACCCCCTCCATATACACTCTTCTGTCTCAGCCAGGGAGGCTTCTTCCTGTCACCAGCAATGCAGCACTCAGCGGCAACTCTAACACAATGTTTACATTATCCCCTCCTAGATAAATCTAGATCCAGTCCCGCAACTGCCAGGTTTTCTGGAAGCCTTCTCTGAGGGACCCCAAGGCCCCCTCCTCTGGGCTTTCAGAGCGCCCAGCTTCTGAATTTGCTGCTTGGTATCCACCACGTGAGGAATCTTGCTGTCCCAACTCTACAGCAAGTTCCTGCAGCTTCTTCCAAGTCTTGGGGCGCTCCTGCACACACACAGACACACACACACACACACACCAAAAAATCTAGCTTCGGGTTATGCACACCAAAGATCTACAGTAAAATTCTGGAGGATGAAAACGCCTCTTGTGTTCCAGCCAGACGCATCAGAAGGAAGTGATGAAGGCAGACTCCTGAGTGAATGAGTGAATGGGCACAAAGGACCACAACCAATGCTGGCTTGTAGACAGAAGTGCTTTGCCCTTCTCAGAGAAAAACACTTGGGTTCTCTGTTTTATGCTATTCTTTTGAAAAAAGTGGTTTCTTTTTTCTTAATGAAGGGTGCAGATACATACTCTTTGAGCTGAGCAAGAAGGGTGGAGCTAGACCAGTGTTTCATGGAAACAAACCAAATCACTAGGCCTCATGGAAACAAACCAAATCACTAGGCCTCATGGTTGTCAGCTTAAGAAACCAGAATTCCTGCTTCAGAGCAGTGACTGGGCTACAGAGGCAACCAAGAAATGAAATCCCCAAGAGAAAACAAACAGTGCCCATGACCAAGTTCAAAGTAGTGGAAGATTTGGCCTGGGAACTCTTCATATGCTGCTCGGAAAGCATGGCTGGTAAGCTCTGACTAGCATAAGTAAGAATAGGAGGGTCAAGTAGGATAGAAGACTGCATGAGTACCAAGATGGCATCTCAGATCTGCCATCAGAAGTGATAACCCCATAACCTCAATATCCTCAGCTTGTTAATTGGAGTTCTCTACACAATATCCCTGACTTCCCTTCCTCAGCTTTCCCCACACTGGTCTCTTCCCTGTCTTCTACATGGACAGTTTACATTTATACCTCAGGACCTTTGTACATGCTTTTCCCACAGCGGGAATGGCATCTTCTCCTCTGGTTTGGGGCCAGTTCAAATCCCATTTCCTCTCTGGAGTCTTCCTCAAATAATTCCCTCTAACGACTTCACTTCCTCTTCTAAACGCCTGCAGTGTTTAATGCCCATTCCTCTATTTGGCTCTTATTATACATTATTTTATATCATTAGTTAACATATTTTTAAAAATTAGTTAACTTCTTAAAGAGTATCTGGATTACACCCAACTTTTATCACCCACAGTAGCTTCCATGTTAGTGGAGCTTGAGAAATATCTGTTAATTATATGCCAACCACGGACAAGATACTAACAAGGTTACCAAGTCCTCGTTAGCTGCAGTTCTTGCAGTCAAGGGGCCTATTGTTCATTTAGAGAGTCAATAAAAGACAAATACATAAAACAAATGTGTATGCACAAGGAAAATTAGAAACTAAGACGATACACAAGACTATAAAGAGAAAATATATAATGAAAGAGGTACATAAGAAAGAATAGGCTTGAGTCATCAGAAAAGAGAAGAGAGGAGCCTGGGTGGCTCAGTTAGTTAAGGGTCTGACTTCGGCTCAAGTCACGATCTCACAGTTTGTGAGTGCAAGCCCCACGCCGAGCCTGGAGCCTGCTTTAGATTCTGTGTCTCCCTCTCTCTCTGCCCCTCCCCCACTCATGCGCACGTGCACACACGCGCTCTCTCTCTCAAAAATAAACATTAAAAAATTTTAATGAAAGAAAAGAGAAGAAGTAAGATTTAAGTTGAGTCTTTTAAAATGACTGGGATTCACACAAGAAAGCAGAAGATTCTTCAAACCAAGTGATGGTGAAGGAAACAACATCTATGGGATACAGCAGGATAGTGCTTATAGGGAAACTTACAGCTCTAAATGCTTACATGAGGGAAAAAATGTTTTAAAATTAACAATCTAAGCCTTTACTTAATGGAGCTAGGAAAAAAGAACAAATTAAATCTGTAGTAAGTAGAAAGAAAGAAAAATAGTGGAATAAAATCGAATAGAAATGGACAAACAGGGCACCTGAGTGGCTCAGTCGGTTGAGTGTCCGACTTCAGCTCAGGTCATGATCTCACAGTTCGTGGGTTTGAGTCCCGCATCTGGCTCTATGCTGACAGCTCAGAGCCTGTAAGCTGCTTCAGATTCTGTGTCTCCCTCTCCCTCTGTCCCTCCCCTGCTCTCACTCTGTCTCTCAAAAATAAATAAATATTTTAAAAAAAGATATTATGAAGAAAATTAAATGGCAGGCCACAGTCTGGGAGAAACTATTCACCTTACATATGTCTGTCATAGTCAGGGGTAGAGTATTTGAACATATATGTCTGTCACAGGACTATGTCCAGAATATATAAACAACTCCAACAAATTCATAATAAAAACATAAGCAACCCATTAAAAACCAGGCATAATACTTAAACTTCATAAATACTTCATAAAAAGACATTTCATAAAAGATATTCCATTTGGCCAAAAAGTTTATGTAAAGTTGCTTACCATCACAGAAAAATTCAAGTTAAAGTCACAGTCATATCTACTTCATACTCACTAGAAAAGCTAAAATTAAAAAGTCAGCATTGAATGTAGGCAGGAATGTTGAACCACCAGAACTCTCATGCATTCTGATGGGAGTGTAAAAATGGTACATTTTGAAAAATGGCAATTTCTCAAAAAGAAAAATATACACATACTCTATGGCCCAGAGCTGCACCCTAAACATTTGCCCAAGTGAAATGAAAACATCTGTCCACAAAAAGACTTGCACAAGAATGTTCATAGGAGTGTTGTTCATAATAGCCCCAAACTGGAAACAACCCAAATGCCTAACAACTGATGAATGGCAAACAATTTGTGATATATTCATACAGTGGGATACTACTCAGCAATAAAATGACAGAACTACTGACACAGGAAACCACATGGATGAATCTCAAAAACATTATGCCAGTGAGGGGCACCTGAGCGGCCCAATCAGTTAAGCGTCTGACTCTTGGTTTCGGCTCAGGTTATGGTCTCACAGTTTGTGAGATCACACCCTGAGTCAGGCCTGCTTGGGATTGTCTCTCTCTCTCTCTCTTTCTCTCTCTCTCTCTCTCTCTCAATAAACATTCAAAAAAAAAAAAAAAAAAAAAAAAAAAAAAAAAAAAAAAACAACAACAACAACAACAAAACCTCATGCAAGTGAAAGATGCCAGACACAAAAAAAGCATTTAATGTGTGATCTCATTTACATGACATTCTAGGGCAGCCAGGCA